GTACATCTTCATGAAATTTTAATTTGACATTTTTACAATCTATATTTTTACCTTTTTGTATCAAAAAATTTTAAAAAACTTTAGAAACAACGATTATGACAATTGTTACTTATTTATGGTACATCTTCATTGATATTTTATTTTAACATGTTAGCAATTGCTATTTTTGCCCATTTGCTTCAAAAAAATTCAAAAAACTTTAAAAATAACGATTATGACAATTGTCACTTATCTAGGGTACATCTTCACGGAAGTTTTATTTAAACATGTTAGCAATTTATTTTTTGCCCATTTGCGTCAAAAAAATTCAAAAAACTTTAAAAATAATTATGACAATTGTCATTATCTTGTGAACATCCACTGAAGTTTTATTTAAACATGTTATCAATATTTATTTTGGCCCATATACGTCAAAAAAAGTTTAAAAATAACGATTATTACAATTATCACTTTTCTGTGGTACATCTTCATGAAATTTTAATTTAACAAGTTTACAATCTATATTTTTACCCATTTGCAACAAAATAATTCAAAAAACTTTAAAAATAAGGATTATGACAATTGTCACTTATCTAGGGTGCATCTTCACTGAAGTTTTATTAATACATGTTAACAATACTTATTTTAACCGTTTTACGTCAAGAAAATTTAAAAAACTTTAAAAATAAGGATTATGATAATTGTCACTTTTATATGATGCATCTTAATTAAAATTTTAATTTAACATGTTAAAAATACATATTACCGCAAAAAAAATCTAATATGTTTAAAAATACAGATTATGATAATTGTCACTTTTATATGGTGCATCTTAATTAAAATTTTAATTTAACATGTTAAAAATACATATTACCGCAAAAAAATCTAATATGTTTAAAAATACAGATTATGATAATTGTCATTTTTCCAAGGAACATCTTCAATAACGAATATAAAAATTGTCAGATTAAATTATTTTCCTTAAAAAGATCATATACATAAATAAGTTAAATAAAAATATTTTTAATAAAAATTATTTAGAAAATCCACCTCTTTTAATATACTTAAAAACTAGATAATTTTACAAAAATGATAAAAAAATCTATAAAAGATTTCACCTAAAAGATTGTTTATTTATAATAAAATTCACAAAAGAATTCCTCAAAAAAGATTTAAAATTTTTATCAAAATATGTTTAAAAAATCTTTTTGAACTTAATATTTTTTGCTTAAAATTTTGGGCGTGAAAATCACTAATAAATTTTAACAAAAATAATATTACAATAGTAGCATATCATTTTTTTTATTAAAAAAATATCAAATAATAGAAATCTATTTTTCATTTCATAATATAATAATATAAATAAAAAATATATATCATATAATATGTTTATTTGTTGATAAATAAAATATTAACATTAAATATAAATAAAATAAATTATTTTAATAAAAATAAAAAAATAATAATAGGCCGTGTTATGTTTCGCGAAATAGTTTTCGCTATATTGTCTTCGCGATTTATGTTTCGCGATATTGACTTCGCTATAAAATTTTCGCGATTATTGATTCGCGATAAATATTTTGCTCTAATGTATTCGCATTAAAGGTTTCGCGATTAGAGTTTCGCTAAAAAAAATTCGCGATATTTGTTTCGCTATATTGTTTTCGCGGAAAAGTATTCGCCAATGTGGATTCGCGATAAAAGTTTCGCTGAATTGACATGGAACCTTCTTTGTCAAGTGTCGAGATACAGGTATTCGCCCAGGGTGCCAGGGCCTTTGAAATCCCCAGTTGTTGCGCTGAGGGTGGTAGGGTTAATATGAAATTATTTACGGTTAAGCTTTGTTCCCCGCTTGACTCCATTCCTAGAATTGGAAGTGACGACCATTGGCTCGTCGTCATCGGTGGTTCTGGGTCTCTCTCGAGTGGCTGGCCCCTGCTTTTGTCCACCTCCGTAAGCAAGGGTTGATCGAAAGGGCTGCGGTTCGGGTGGGGCTCCTCCAGCCAACTTGCATATAGAATTTTGAGATTCATATTTGATCTTGTCCCAACCCCAAGCTACCGATTTAGCGTAGATTTGGGCTTTTGCGGCTACCGCTCTGAGGTATTCTAAAGAAGACGCCATGCTCATTTCTTTATGTAGGTCTTTAAGGCTGGAAACTCAAATACATCTCTGCCTTTAAGTTGGAAATTAGGCATGGATTCTGCTAAACAGATGGCATTTAGAAAGTGTTTGGCCGTTCTTATTAACTTCCTTTTATCCGTTTCAGCTTGTATGTTTAAGGTGCGATATTCTTCTTCGGATAATATGAACTCGGTGGAATCCTTCAATAAGTCCACTGGAAGTTCGGCGGTTAAAAAGAACGCTTTGAGGTCTCTGCTTGTAGACGGCATATGACTTCCGGATGTGAATGGGTTATCCACCGGCGTATTCCTTGTATCTAATTGCGCAGGGGGAGATTGAAAAGCCACTAGTTTTCTTATCATCTTTTTCCTTTTGGGAATTAAAAAGTACGATTAATTCGGCTAGCTGGGCGGTAGTGGCATCTATTTTGGAATTTATATATTAATCTCGCTCCTAATATGTCCAATCTTCTCGTTGACTATGTTACGAACCTCCTCGATATCACCTTTCGATGCATTTTCTGCCATCTTCTTTGATCTAGTGTTGGATACCGTTTTGGAGAATTTTATAAAATTAAAAATTTATCAATTAATTTAATTATTTAAAGCGTGAAAAATCAGGGTGCTCAAAAACAAAGAGGTAACTCGCCCGATAACGCAAGGATAAATTGTTTTAATTTTAAATAAATAGTAAACAATTATCCTTACAATTAAATCCAAAAACTTTCGTATAAAAATATAATTCTTTTATTTAATTTACAATCTAAAATGAAACTTTTTAATTCAAATAATCATCTCTTTTTTTTCACTGCCAGGTCAACGTATAGCAATTTTATAAATAACAACCTAATTTACTAAATACCGACCAAAATTTAATAAAATATAATAAGACCTTTATTATTTAACATATATTATAACGGAATCACGTGGTCCAGTCCGGCCACCCATATATCATCCCCCCAAGGACGGAATCATCAAGTTGGAATAATAATAAAAACAGATTGTTGGGATTCCAACCCAGAACCATCGAATTGGTAAGCGACGCTCTTGCTGACTAGGCCACAGACGTTTTATAATAGTCACGTTTTTCAAATATATATTATAGATAAATTTTGTAGTAACTATCCAGAAAAATGGACAAAATACAAAATTTGATAGGCACAACCTTGAGGCAGTATTTATCATTAATCGACTATATGGTGGTTAGACCAATATATCATTGGGTTAGACTTAGGCCGTGACTGCATATAACACCTGTGATATTTAGTGAAAAAACTAAACATAACATCTGTGATATTTAGTGAAAAAACTAAACATAACACCTGCTATATTTTTTTAGTGAATAAATTAAATATCACACCTGCTATATTTTAATTTTTTAATACACTTCGTATATTAAAATATTAAAGGATGTTTTTAATTCTTCCAATTTTTATTAAATATAATTTTTATTTACTTGAGCTATTAAGGTAATATTTTATATTAATAATCTAAATATTACTGTAGATCCCTATAAGTATTTTTATTGAAGTCTTAAGAACTAATAATGAAGAGGAATATAAGATGAACTTAGCCATATTTTCAAATATCAATATCATTAAAAATTTTTTTAGCTGAATTCTGAAAATATAACGATGACATAAATTTGGGAATCTTGTAAGAATTAGGAAATAACTAATATAACGTAAAGATACACCTTTTTTAAAGGTTACAATGACATTCAAGAAGACCTACTTAATAACCAAAGCTTAATATACACAACACAATCCTAAGGGACCCTTATAGCAAACAATTTAAATTTACAAACTGCTCATTAAAAAATATGAATATGGGTTTATAAATAGTTTATATATGAATATAAATACTTTGATATGTATAGGGGTTTATCAAAGCTATATGAATAAATACTTTTTTGATTATGCCCATTAATTGTAACCATATTTAATATGAAAAATATAAATAAAGACCTAAAAATATACGCACAAGTTTTATATGGTACAATTTTTTAATGTATTTTGACATAAAATTTATTTTTAGTTTTATAATCTGCAAATTAAAAAATAATTTAAACCCAATTTTTTTTTAAAACACCCTAATATTTAATCAAAAAATATTAATTTATAAAATTTTAATTGCTTTGTCCTAATCTCAGACTCATATTTTTTTTAATAAATAAGAATTAAAAACATTTTTTTATATTTATCTGGTTTCTTAAATTATAAGCCTTCTACAACTACAACTTTTAAGGCATTAATCTTTTTTGTTCAAATTTTATTTATTATACATGGATAAATACTGATATTTGTATTTAATAACTATGACCAATAGTCAAACCTTCTAATATTTAATATTATATTGTTCTAACTGACAAGAAAATTATTCTTTACCTTTCATAAAATAATTTAAAATGATAAATACAGGAAAAAAATACTTAATCCTTTATAGCATGGAGGGGTGAGGGGCTATACATACTCTAGTTGTATAAAAAAATATTATTACCTATTTTTTTTGTATAAATTTTAGCTTAATATTTGTAGGTAAAGTGTATATCTGATTATTCAGCATTTATAGTGGTGTAGCTTGGGATTACATAGTCCCCACCTAATTATGCCTATTATGTGGGTTTTCCACCTGATATTAAGATTTAAGCAATTATTTTTTTTTAATAAATTGGTTGATTGACTAATACTTGTATAAATAAATAATATATTATTTACATGATAGATTACAAATATACTTTTATGCACAAATACAATTAGTTGACAGGATAATACTTTTTATTTAAATATAAAAAATGCCTCAGGCATATATATTTATAAATGATTTGATAATATATTATTTACAGATAAAACTATACTATAATGATAATTTAAATTTCTTAAATAGATACAACCAATAAATTTATTTATTTCAGGAATAATAAATAATGGATGAAATAAAAGCCATTTGTCATTATAAAAAACGAAGATGTTTGTTTGAAGCAATGTAGCTGCACAGGAAATCTCAATATCTGTGGCCCAAGTGCCATTGCAACCCATTTTGTTTTTCACAATGTAATCCATTGTGTTATCCCCTATGAATACGCTAAAGAAATTTATATGTTTTTCTTGAACCATAAAGGATATCATAACACTCCTGATTATTTGATGATATTGCTCATCATTACTGATTTCCTTGCTAAGACATCTAAAATAATATTTAGAATTATAAGTTGTTATTAATAAAATACCTGAAAAAACAGTTTCCATCACCTATAATTAAATCAACCTTATCAGGATCCCCCAAGCTTAATGATTTCGAGTATTTTGCGACACAATCAAAGTCATGCCTAACTTATCGGAATGATATTTTTTCCATTCTGATGTTGTAGGCTGGAAAACAAATGGAATCTTGAGAGGTTGATAATTATGAACAAGTTTATTCACTAAAATAAATTATATATTTTAAACTAAAAAATGGAATACGTGTATTTCCCCTCTGTTGCTTAAAATAAGAATATGGACCTTTTTTAATAAATAAAATGTATAGTAACTAGTGTATATTACAACCTACCAAAAGCAAATTTTAAAGTTAGGGGTTCAGTGATAGTACCTTTTGTCATATCCAGTCCCATATTGTTTGGTATATTATTACCTAAAATATAAAATTTACTTATATAAATGTAATTTTGTTACTTGAGGACAACAAAATCGGGCCTGACATAGCATTTTTAGCAAGAGTATTGCAAGGTTGTGACTTGAACCCCATTTTATTTGGTATTATATTATTACCTTAAATATAAAATTTACTTATATAAATGTAATTTTGTTACTTGAGGACAACAAAATCGGGCCTGACATAGCATTTTTAACAAGAGTATTGCAAGGTTGTGACTTGAACCCCATTTTATTTGGTATTATATTATTACCAAGAGTATTGCAAGGTTGTGACTTGAACCCCATTTTATTTGGTATTATATTATTACCTTAAATATAAAATTTACTTATATAAATGTAATTTTGTTTCTTGAGGACAACAAAATCGGGCCTGACATAGCATTTTAGCAAGAGTATTGCAAGGTTGTGACTTGAACCCCATTTTATTTGGTATTATATTATTACCTTAAATATAAAATTTACTTATATAAATGTAATTTTGTTACTTGAGGACAATAAAATCGGGCCTGACATAGCATTTTTAGCAAGAGTATTGCAAGGTTGTGACTTGAACCCCATTTTATTTGGTATTATATTATTACCTTAAATATAAAATTTACTTATATAAATGTAATTTTGTTACTTGATGACAACAAAATCGGGCCTGACATAGCATTTTTAGCAAGAGTATTGCAAGGTTGTGATTTGAACCCCATTTTATTTGGTATTATATTACCTTAAATATAAAATTTACTTATATAAATGTAATTTTGTTACTTGAGGACAACAAAATCGGGCATAGCATTTTTAGCAAGAGTATTGCAAGGTTGTGACTTGAACCCCATTTTATTTGCTATTATATTATTACCTTAAATATAAAATTTACTTAAATAAATGTAATTTTGTTACTTGAGGACAACATCATGCTGGAGATAGCATTTTTAATAAGAGGATTATTATGTTGAGATTTGTCTAGATTTATTAAATTATTTTATATAAGATGTAATTTTGTTACTTGCTGAAAACTTCCTCTGTTTCCTCGAAAGGCCTATCACTGATAAGTTGGATTGCCTATACCTACCTCTTTTTTTCATTTTGAGAGGCATTTTCATACTTTTTAGCCTCTTCAAAGTTTTGTCATTATCTTTGATTTCAGTCTCAGTCATAATTGTAGTTTTTATGACTGGAATCATTACATTTGTATCTATATTTAATATTAAAAAATTATTTTACAAAAAATAACAATACCTTGTTGACTGTTAATAAATTTGGGCATAACTATTGGATTTGGAAATATCATTTGATCCACTTCCAAAACATCAAAATATTTTCCTCCTTGGACAATATCTTCAAGTTTTTTTAATTTTTCAAGAAATATATCAAAGATTTCTTGAGGAAGGTGTGACATTAACCCTGAAAAGGGCAGCAATATTCTTTGTACCTTTTTAAATTTATCATTGGTAGATAAATTTTTTGTTAAAGGAATAGTATCATGTTTTGAGATATTTAGGTATGATTGTGATGTGTTTACTGGTGGCATTAATAATGTGTCTTGCGTATATTTTTTAGTCCATCTCTCACCACAAAGATGACTAAGATAAATGTCGAATTTTGATGTAGCATGAAGTGCTAATATATGGCGACAAGGAAGCTTGATACATTTCAAAAATCAAAAATCCACAGGTACAAGAATCCAATGTTACCTTAAATTCAACACCTTTTTCGCAGATGAATCCTTGGTTTAAAATAGTATCCATATTGAATATTTGAATTTGATTATGTAGCAAAATTTCGTTTAAAACAATTTTGAAAGCATATGGGGTTAAAAGAGTGGAGTATGCATGCTCTGGGGTATATGATGCGTATGTTACAATCTGTTGCCTCTCTACACTCATTATATTTCTAAATTGCCTTTCATATGCCTGAGAACCAACCACTGTTGATAAATCTGAAAAAGGTCGTTTAATGGTGAATATTTGTTAACGACTCTTTTTATCTTTTGATTTAATGATTCAAGCCGGTTATTGGTTAGATTAAGGAGATGTGGTGAGTCATTTCTCCAGTATATCACCCATTCTTTCCGGATATGGTGCCAATTAATATTAAAATATAATGACACTAGAGGCATGTCTAATTCAATAAGTTTTGAATATAGATCATTGTATATATCCTCTGTCTTGCTATAGACCATTTTTTGTAATATATCCAGTACTATCTTAACCTCAGATGAGGTGATATTTCTTTTATCCACTGTAATTTCTCTCTTAAATATTCTAAGAGCATGAAATATACAGATATGTATGCTCACCCCAGGAAAACTATCATAAAAGGCATGTCTATCTGCCATATCTTTATCTGCAACAATAACCTCCAGATCTTCCAAGTTATTATTATGGAATTTCATATAATCACACATCGTTTTGACACACTTATAGCTCTCACTTTGTACAAGCCAAAGTGATATGATTTGTGACTCACCATTACCATCAACAACCAAAGTGATGAATAAAGGCATTCCATAATTATTTAATTTGTAGGTAGCATCTACAAACATAACTTCAGGAAATCTTTTTAGATTTTGTTGCATTATCCTGTCCTGAAAGAAAATACCTAGCAATACATCATTTTCTTCAGCAACCTCAACAATGGCTCCTTTATCACTTTTTAATAGTTCAAAAATACTTGCTAAGTCATTGGTCTTGGTTTTATTAATTTTTGTCTGGACATTATGTATATCTTTAAGTGTCATTTTTTTACCCATTTTCAGAAGAGATTCCTGAATTTTTAGCTTGTTTGCCTTTAGTTTTAACAAATTTTCGACTATTTGCTTTTCCTCCACAGAAAGCATTCTTTGTTTAGGTAAGGATTGGAAAGTAATACTATCTATTTATATGAGTTATATTAATTTATTATAATGTATAATTATACTTAAATCATGATTACAGTGCTCATCAACCATGGTCACAATTTCTAAGTAATGTCCAGTGTCCTTATGTTTAAGGTATAATGTAAATTTAAAGGAACACTTCTTGCGAAATGTTGAGGAATTTCTGATACCCTTGGAGTTGCTTTTTTGAATTGTGCCACCATATTTGCAAGAATAATAAACTTTCCGATATTTAAAAAGATTTATAACGTCTACAGGATATGGTGCTTTTAGTAGATAGGACCTTGCTATATAGACATTTACAAAATTAGAATTCTCAAATTCTTCAATAGTCCTAGATAATGAAGCATATAAAGAAAATATTGCTCCAAGATGTAGCATCTATAAATATGTTTTGAATATTTAATTAAACCACACTTTATTATATATCATTACATGAGAACTAGGCAGAGGTATACCCTAAAATAATAAGACAAGAATTTAACAATTCCTTGAGAACTCTAAAAATTTAAAAACATCTTAATACCACATATTGGTGTCAACAGACTTTATACAATGTTAAATTAATAGTTCATTGCATAACTTACTATAGAATTAAAGTTTCTCATCATGAAGTAAAATATTTGTGTAATATATTATATAATCTATTTACTATTAACTAAAGAAATTAGCTTATAAAATAGATAACATTTAAATTCAAATGAAAAAGTATTTAGAATAAAATAAAATATCTGCATTTCATGTTTAATTATTGGATTTAAAAAAAATTGTTTACCTTTGTACTTTCTGTTTCTGTGCATTCCATATCAGTAAATTTATAGCAGAGAAGTAGAATCAAAATTTTGCTCTAACCAGTGAACACCTAATTTAATATATAAAAAATATAAGCATGTACTTTAAGAATCTGTATATGATAAATAAAAACAATATTGCTGCTTAGTTATATTTAAAAATGGTAACTAGCATATAAAACAGGTATGACTAAATTAAATTAAAATTTAGAGTACCATAAAATATCTGATGTCATATGTAAATTAGGTTTTAAAAAATTGTTTACCTTTATCTCTTATGCTGTACCTCCTATATTAGTAAATTTATAGCAGAGAAGTAGAATCAAAATTTTGCTCTAACCAGTGAACACCTATTATTTAAATTTAATATATAAAAAATATAAGCATGTACTTTAAGAATCTGTATATGATAAATAAAAACAATATTGCTGCTTAGTTATATTTAAAAATGGTAACTAGCATATAAAACAGGTATGACTAAATTAAATTAAAATTTAGAGTACCATAAAATATCTGATGTCATGTGTAAACTAGGTTTTAAAAAAATTGTTTACCTTTATCTCTTATGCTGTACCTCCTATATCAGTAAATTTATAGCAGAGAAGTAGAATCAAAATTTTGCTCTTACCAGTGAACACCTATTATTTAAATTTAATATATAAAAAATATAAGCATGTACTTTAAGAATCTGTATATGATAAATAAAAACAATATTGCTGCTTAGTTATATTTAAAAATGGTAACTAGCATATAAAACAGGTATGACTAAATTAAATTAAAATTTAGAGTACCATAAAATATCTGATGTCATATGTAAATTAGGTTTTAAAAAAATTGTTTACCTTTATCTCTTATGCTGTACCTCCTATATCAGTAAATTTATAGCAGAGAAGTAAAATCAAAATATGGATGATTTTAAATATCGCGAAGGAAATAAAAATATTAAATGAATGTGCGATATTAGTTTTTTCACAAAATATCTCTGGTGTTATGTTTAGTTTTTTCACTAAATATCACAGGTGTTATGTTTAGTTTTTTCACTAAATATCACAGGTGTTATATGCAGTCATGGCCTTAGACTTAGATGACATTATGAAGCTAGATATGTAATAGAGAAAATTATTGTGAGATATGAAATTTCTAAAAGATTATCTTCCATTTTTATTGATATATAAACGATAGACAGTTGATCATTATTGCTCATCTAATTTATGCAATCAAATTCTCTTAGCAGCAAGAGTAATAATCTTAAATTACATAGCCACACAAATAATAGATACTGGTTAATTTGCAGTTATGGCCATGATGTAGTCTATATAAACTCATATCAGAATTTATTATGTTAGATAAATTGATAAAAAAAAAACACTAAAAATCTTTAGAAGAAATAATTATGCAAATATTGAAGTCTTGATTTATTTATCGGAAAGGATGCCATATTAGATATTAAACATTTTGTAACTATAAAATAAGAACCAGAGTGATATGATGAAAGCAATTAATACATATATTTTCGCACCACCTCTAGTTTGTATATTATATCTTAAAATAATAGCAGTTTGTAATAATATCAAAAATATACTCGTATTAAAAATTTAACTCAAAAATGTTTTTCAAATAAGAAACAAAATAGCTTAAAAACACGTAAAAAAAGGAGAAGAAAAGATATCTAATAAGATTATAGATTAATAAGATGTTTAATTTTTAATAATATTTTAAAATAAATAGATGGCCTTAAAGAATTGAATATAATTTGTTATTTATATTTATTGTCAAAAGCATTTATTAGTAATATTTATTAAATTATTAACAGTAATCAATAGCGTCTAGAGGGGGGGGTGCATAAAGGGGCTCAAGCCCCTTCAAAAAAATAGACCCTGGACGAATTTTTAATTATTTATTGGTTCCCTAATAGCCCTAAGAACTAAATAAAAAAATTTGATAGCCCTCTGAACGATTTTTTAAATATGTAATACATATAAATTTAATATTATCTTTAAAAAAATTAAAAAGACTAAAAAAATTTTTTATCAAATGAGTGCTATTTTAATTATTAAATTAATAGTATAAATTATATTTTCAATATGTCAACAATTGAAATCATATTATGTGTTAAAATGGAATATCAATATCACTCATAGTTATAATAATTTTATATTTTTTATATGTATATTATTATTTTAGAATTTTACGTTTTATTTTCAATAGAATTATTACTTTTTAATATTGGATATTAATTAGATATTAAATATGCCATATTATATGACAAATAAAAAGTATTTGTATACATAATAATAATGTCTAAATATCAATCAAGCATAACAGTTGAAGCTTAATTGATTTTTATTATTTAAATTATTTTATACTCTTGTTATATAATAATATTAAGCAAGAATAAATAATATAGAATAAATTGTGGGCGATTGTATTGAATAACTACGGAAGATTAAAGGTTAATAATATATCATCAATTTTAGAATGTGGAATCCGTGAAGATTAGGAATATTAATAATTAAGTTCTTTATTTTCAACTAAGATCAAATAAAAACAACAAAAGTAATCATGATCATTTAGGTATATATACAAAATTAACATCAATTTAATATTAAAATAAAAATCATTGTATAACTTTTCAAAATATCAATTTAATATTAAATATAATATAATATATCGTTTTAAGCCTTAAGTCTTCTACAATACAAAATCCATTAATAAACATTGTTACTTGTATTTAACAAATAGGAATATTAATAATTTAAAATATTGATATATTTGGTCATTAAATAGTAATAAGTAAAAAATTTATATCATGCACTCATTAAATTATCTTTATTTTTATATTCTTATTTTGTAAGAAACTTTATTTTATAGCTATTCGAATTTGACTTATCCTTATTTTTATTTTATTTATTCAAATTTATAAAAGATTTGTTTTTGTATATAAAATAGCTTTATTTTTATGAAAGATAGTTAAAATTTATTTTAAGAACAAAATAATACAATTCAACAACCTTCCTACCTTTTTATAATAAGACGCCCCTGGTGGATCGGAAAATCATTAGTGGGGAAAAAATTTCTTCAGATCTTCTTTACCTGGGAAATCAAAATTCTTAAATTAAAATTAATGATAAACTAATAAAAACATAGGGTCAAGTTATAGATAATGTTGATATGATTTTAAAAATAATTCTACTCCATTTAAAAAAACAAAATTTACATATGCACAAGAAAATATGGAAGTTGGACAATAGGCTATAAATTCTATATAGTGAAATCAATGATGATTTACAAGATAATTCTTAATGCACGTAAGAAGAAAAGTTAATAAAATTAAAATACCATTCTAAAATAAAGTCATAATTCTTAGCATAAAATTTATCATAAAACTGTTTAAAATTTTTCCTTCGGATAGTGAAAAATCCAACGATGTAGCTAACCACATAATGGTAAATATAGCTGATAGAGATCTGCAAAAGTAGGCCCTTGAAATTTTTTTAAATATATTTAAACTTATCAATTTTATATTGAATTTTTTATGTAAAATTAAAATATTTGATTTTATTTATAGAAACTAGATGCCATATAACATATGTCTTTTATTTTGAGTAACTATAAAAATTAATTTCTATATTTAAATAAATTCTGGCCCGGTAAATTTTTTAAAAAAAAATACGGGTTTAGGCCGGGCCGGCAAAACTTTTTTAAAAATTTCGGATTTGGCCGGGCCTGCAAAACCTTTTTAAAAAAATTTCGGGCCAGGTGTGAAAAATTAGGCCCGATGCAGATCTCTAATAGCTGATTCAGGGTTATCAATGATTTGCATGTCAGCATTCTGCGCTGATAATGCCTCTGTAAATTTTTGCAAAAACCAAAGTATATTTACCCAATCGAGCACTATAATGACTTAAATTGGCTGTATATACTATATACTACATAATTCTTGCAAGAAGGCAATGAATGTGCTATCTGTGGATAAAATAATTGTGGAAATGCTTTAACGAATTTAGCTCATCAACTAAAAGGGTTAATGAAAAGAGTTGGTGAAGTGATCTGACTTGGGAATGTGTGAGTTGTTGCGATACGTACCTATCAGGTGGTTGTCATTAATACCTGTCATCGATAGAATTTTAAAATTTTGCAAACCCTTAAAAAAATATTAAATAAAGATTTTAATAGCACTCTTAAAATTTTGAAAAATTTTTTCGAGTATGAAATGGCAGAAGCATATATGGGAATACTGTAAATCTACGACATATAATATTCCACTGTTTGTATTGTCCTTTAATTTTTTTATTTAATTTATGATTTAATTTTATCAATAGTTTTATAATTATATTTTACTTTTATTAAGATAAATAAATTAAAATTACTCACTTTATAAAAAATTATATTTGATATATTATATCGTATAGTAATTTTTGGATCTATTATTAATAATTATAATACATTTCACTTTTGTCTTAAGACTTATCTTATATTCCATTGTTTAAAAAGGATTTTTGATTCATTTTTTTTTATATTTAAATGCTTTTTTCCAAAAATGTATATATTATGATGAATATTTTTATACTTTTATATTCTTTCTTTCAAATTATTGTTTAAGTTATATGCATACATTTTTTGGGGTCAGAGAGTGGGGAAGGGAAGGACTAAGGGGGATATTTTTTTAGCTTAAAATGATATTCAAAAAAGGTGATAAATTTCTGAGGGGGGACTTCCCCTTGCCCTCCCCCTGGCTACGCCTATGTTTGGGATTAGTTTCACATGTAGGAAATCTACTTCATGCAATTAATATGTAGTTGCAATCAGAATGTTCTTTATTAATAAAGATTCACAAAATCATGCTACAGCTCTGTTCATCTCTACAGTTAAAAATTGATAATAATTTTTATGGCCTATTGCTAAAAATATTATATTAATATGTTCAAATTAATACATTTTTAAATGAAGCAGATATTTTTCTTAAGACAATTTTAGAATATTTACGATCAAAATTTAATTTTAATAACTCAATTTACAAATATATAAATATTATTACCTTGGAACATTTGTAATTTAATAAATATATTAAAAATAACGAAAGACATTGATGTCTTGTTTAAGGAGATTGTAATTCTCTCTATTATTTATGATTCGACAAAATACTTAAAGTTAGATGGTCTAAAAGCAGAGGAGGAATGGGTAGAATTTTTTCGTAATAACAATAAATCCCCATGCTTAGAAAAAATATGCGAGTATGTCTTCTCTTTACCTCATTCTAATGCCTCATCCAAGCGCATTTTTTAGCCAGATGAGGACTTCCTGGAAAAAAGAAAGAAATCGGATTGCTTTAACAACATTAGAGGCCGAGTTAATGGTTAAACAAATTTATAATATGTTATGGAATTTTATAAATATCTTAATAACGACAGTAAACGTTTAGTTCCCTTATTACAATAAAATATAATTAACATTATAACTATTTAATTTTCCCTATTTTTTTTTATATTATATAAAATCTTATTTATACATTCGCATAATAAATTATTTTTTACATTGTAAATCAAAAATAAAGAGTATTGCAATCTCCAGACATCAATGTCTATCGGTATTTTTAAAATATTTGAACATTTTAATATAGTTTTAGCAATGGCGCCATAAAATTTATTGCCAATTTTAACTGTAAAGATGAACACATCTGCAGTGTAATTTTGTGAATCTTTGTTAAAATTCTTCTGATTGCAACTGCACATTAACATCATATAGTAGATTTCCTACATGTGAAATCATTCCTCCTCTGCCATTCATTATTGAAAAAAATTTTCAAAATGTTAGGACAGCTTTTATAATCTATATTTAATTTTTTTTTTAAAGGTTTATAAAATTTTAAAATTCTATCGATGGTGGGTATTAGGAACATATCGCAACCAACATTGTGCT